CAAAAGGGAATTAATTCTAAAATGAATATGGTAGGACAGCACGAGTAATTTTTTCTTGATAATACCAGGGATATGGGTAATCTAAGAAAAGAATTTAATGAGTAGAATGCGAAAAGCATAGCGGTCGGTATGTGAGATTCGGTCTTCGTTTAAATGAAATTGGTTTCGTTCATAATAATCAGTACGAGTAAGTAATAATAAGTACGAGATCTTGACAGATAGCTCGGATCGGCTGAAGTCAATTTTGAAATAATTTTATGATAATAAAATATGTAAAAAGTCAAGTGTATGCGTGTGTGTGGCTGAGAATCCGGACTTACTTAAGGAACTGGATTTACATATATGCAATTAATTGAATGACTAAAGTGAAAAGCAGAAGAAGAACGCGAGAGCGTTGGTATTGAAGAGGTTTTCCATGTAATATCTCTCGCTTCCAAAAAAAGATAGCGGTCAACACTTGGAAAAATGGAGGGAAATTTTTAAAAATATGCTCCAGCGATTAAAAGATCATCTTTAACGTTACGTTATCGTGGCTTATGTTGAGGGTGGAATTTTTCCTTTTCCTTTGTTTGTTATTAACACGACAACCGTCGTTATGCTGGTCAGACGTTATAGGCCATATTTAGAGAGCTATGCTTATTCTTGATAAAACTCTATTAGAATGGATAATGAAAACAAAATGTAGAAACACAGGCAAGTCAGCTGTGGCATTTGAAGATTACATGCCTTAATAAGCGATGCTTTCGTATTCAAAACGGCACAACTGAAAGCTGAAAGCATACAAACCTGAATTATTTAAGCAATACCTAAGTTAGTTTCAAACTAGTCCCAGCTGTCATCTTTTTCTTTAAGAGGATTATTACCTTGACTCAGCAATCATCTTTGCTCATCATCTTTGTTGTTTCACTCTTCACTCTTTACTCTTCATACTTATTATTATTATTATTATTATTATTATTATTATTATTACTATTATTGCTATTAGTCTTTGGCTGCTTAGCGTAGAATATTTACGTTATTTTAATGAACAAACCTTTAAGATGATGATATGCTGGTATGAAGAAAAATATATATATATATTATGAATATTTAATAAAAATAACTCTTAGAACCCATTAATGCGATAACATGTTCTTCACATTCTCCTCATATATAATTCATAAATAAAGTAAGTTGAAGTTTTTACTGCAGCAATTTAAAAGCAATAAAAAAAAAAAAATTATTGTTTTAACACCTTCTTGTGTTTGTAAAATTTTCCAACAGATTCACATGAAAATAAAAGTAATTTTTAAATGCAATAAAATTTAAAACTTCTCACTACTTCTCACTACGTATATGCATTTACCATACCAATTACATATCCATATGAACCTATACGTATAGGTATATATACATATAGTATACATATATATATATATATACATATATATATGTGTAAAAACAACCTTTCAAGTCAATTTTGCCCATTGAGAATTTAACCGAATCAACATATTTATGTCTTTTTGCATAGAAAGCTTTGTCATACACCTGTCATATTGTAATTATTATGAAAATGACCTTCATTTTTACTTACACTTACATATTTGCTTACATGTTTTGCAAATTCAATGCTATCTTTGATGTGATATTTTATTAATTATGCTTAGTTAAGCGTGGAGAATTTTTATAATAATTTTTGGTTGACTTTAGTATTCTGCTTCTCTTCTCTTCTCTTCTCTTTTCTTTTCTATCTTTTCCTTTCCTTTCCTTTTCATTTCATTTCTTTTCTTTAATTACTAATATAATAATCTTCTTGTAGATGAAGTTCACTGTTAACTGCTCGTAAAGCATAGAAGTTTGTATAGAAAATCCTATTAATTCTTGATCAATGGCTCCCATTTTCGCCCATTTATATTCGAATCAAGATAATAAATTTAAAACTTTCTATAGGAAGTCTCTTCCCGTTAGCCTAAGTTCAATGGGCTGAGATTCAAAACTAGTATAAACTAATATATTACACTTTAATACGCTTTGTCATATTTATATGCCTGGTTTTAAGTATAGCTTTCTGCCTAACTGGTTCTCTACGCTTGACGACAACACGACAGTAAAGGCTTGTCTAATAGAACAAATTTGATGTCTTTTCTTATTTTTCCCTTTAAGTGAATTTACACAACCAATTAAATCGTGAGCTCATTAACAATTACTAAGAAATTGATCATTTAATTACGATCTCAAAATTGTTAACGTGTTAGTTGACAGCTGTAACGGTGATTTAAAATTTATTCTTAAAAATAATTTCTTTGTCAAGTTCGAAAATATGCTAACTTGGACCAAGAATGAATGACAGATTTATTCAACCATAATAAGTAATACAGTGGAACTAGGGCATAAATACACGAAGTTTTTATATTGTGACTAGAACTTATATAATATAATGGGTGTTTCCTTGTATCTATCCATGGCGAAAATGTTAAAGTAACGGGAAATATCAATGTACGCAATGATTAAATTCGATCATTTTGACCTTTCTGACCTGATATAAAGTAATAACGTTCGAATTAGTAATATTAGGCAAGAGATGCATGCATTCTCTTACCTAACAATGCTCGGTCATAGGTTGCAAGAGTTGAGGCAAGGCAGCTCGAACGATCAATTCTGCCGCATTCAGCGTACTCATCCGATATAGCGTCGTCTGATTAGCACTTGTTCAGATCGATACAACATGGGTTAGTTGAAGAAGTGCGAAAATGGATCGATAATTGGTTCGCTGTCAAACCAATATCGTCTCTTTTGACACAGCTTCGACATGTTACCAGCAAGATGGAAGAGATTTGTAGAAAGTAATGAAAATTGATTTTATTAATACGAAAAAAATGATCAAAATACATGCAATCATTTAATATATATATATATATATATATAAATAGGACACGATATATAACTGATATTTCGTCCGTCGTTGTTGCAATCAAACATCGCATACATAAATTAATTCAGTAATGATTTGTTGTCCATAATGCGTTTGCCTACGCTTGTCATACAATGGAAGAAACGCACGTAGATGTCAAACAGGTACGACAAATGTCTATTTGACAGATCTGCCTGTTCCCAGGATACTAAAAGAGGATCTATTAAAGAGAAATTGTTACCAATCGAATAGAATATTTAACTATTTGCCACTAAAAAAATGCATTTGCTGCTAAACTGTCTGATCAGATCCGTTATAATTGCTTCTTCATCCCTAACTGCTAAGGAATGTGGAATGTTCGCCAGTAGAATACGAAACTGACCAAATAGACAGATGTGACTTTTACTTACTCGCTTCAGGCGTATGTATTCGCTATAAAGAACTAAATTGCCTGTGCACTGGTGATCAAATGATTATAACGTCAAGTGCTGTTCACTGGCTTGCTATCTTGTCATTTTGTTCGCTTGTAATTTTACAGTTAGATAGAGTACTCATTACTTAGGCATATGTTGAAAAGAGTGAACCGAGCAAAAGGGCGAAAGGGTGTGATTGTGCAATGCTAAGGCAAAGTTTGAGCAATGTATTCAGGTAATCTATTGGGTTATAGATTATGAAGTCCACGTGAGAATCTCATACACATAATTGCAATCAAACTTGCTTATCCCTTATCCCACTTAACCTTTAAACTTTAAACATTACTCTAATAATTTGTCAAATGCAAGGAATTTTTGCGTTAAAGGCGTAAAGAGGGCGACTGAAGATTCAGCATAGAACGCATATTCTTGTTACATTATTACATATAGATGCGGTCGAGACGAACTCGATTGATTGAGGGGAGAAGTAACAGTAAGTAATCTAAGACTCTGTTAAGATCGAAACATTCAGGCAAGATTTTTATCGATATAAAAGCGGAGCGTAGCTGAAGTAGCTGAGGTGTTAAAGAAACAGTTTGTTTACTATGTTTAGAGATGATTTCAATTGTTTTGCTAAAAAGCTTGGCATTGAGTAAAGCATTTATTTATATATATGGCTAATTATTATTATTATGCATATGGTAGCCGTTAGCTAAATTGGTTTTAATGTCAGCTGAATTTTTTTTTATTGTTAACGCGAAGAAAAAAAGCAATGTAATAGTAATGTTTTTGGCTTTTCCTCTTAACTGAATTTATTTAATATGTGTTTAGCTTGCAAATGGTCGCTTAACCGTATGCGCATTAATAGTTTCTTAATTATTTAGTTGGCAACAAAACATTTTTAAAGAAATTATATTAATTTGATTTTCTTTTTTGCCCTCGTTTTGACTTAGTAAACTTTGACCATGTACGAAATTGTCTTTGAACTTTACCATCACTAATGCTATTGCGATCATCAACACCGTCATCATTAACTTTAACAACTAGTACAATACAATAACAGTCTTGTAGAACATGTGGTAATAATTATATATCAAGTATTTCGTGCTTTACAAAACAACATTAACTTTATGGAGTAAAAAAAAAAAAAAAAAAAAAAAAAAAAATTGTAAAAGAGAAATATGTGTTTATATATAAATATGTACAAAATATGTATATAAATATATGTTTATATGTACATAAAAAATCGTAATATAATCAACGTTTACTGTGCATATAGTAGGAAAAAAAAAAAATCTAAAGAAATAAATAAACAACACAAACAAGCAACCATGTGCTGAATACAAGCTCAGTGAAGAGAGAAAAAAAAAACAAAGTTGTTTGAAATTTAAAACTCTCAGCTGAACAGAAAAAAGGTGAAAAAAAAAAATAAATAAATAAAAATGGTTAAGAAATACAATTTAAGAAAAGACAGAAAGAAAAAAAAAAAAAAAAAAGAAAAAAAAGAAGAAAAAGAACTGAACTGAAAAAGAACTGGTGTTACTGGATTTACGGATGCTGTTGTGCAGTGTACTTCTTATCCACAACATTGTCAAGGAACAACAATAACATAGATATATACGTACTAATAAGAAAAACTCAAGTTAAAGTCTTGGGGAATGTCGAACGTTTTTTTTTTTTTTTTTTCTTTTTCTCATTTCACGTCTTTAATGACAAGTAAATATTTTTGTTAAAGTTTTTATTTTTATTTTTATTTTATTTTTATTTTTTTTTTACACATTCGAGTTATAGTTGTGCAAAGAAATGACAGAAGACGAAGAAGAAGAAGAAGTAGAAGCGAAAAGAGAAATATAAAATTGCAAAATAAAAATAAAGAGCAAAAAGAGCTTTAAATCGACTTAAGCCGAACTTTTTGATAACCTTAATCCGAGACCCGATAATTGTATTTAAATCTACGCTTGACTTATAGCAAGTGGTTATACTTGATTTGTAGAAACTAGTATGCTTAAGACTAAGAAGATCCATAAGTGATGTGTACGATCGATAATCATTCATATAATAATGATAATCAGGCTTAATGTTCGTTTTATGCAATAAGGAAAGTATTCGATCGATGTCGGGCTTTGCCGTCAACAAATTTATTTTAAGTTTTACAGTTTGAAAGTTCCAAACTGGTTGAACTAAAGGAACTGGACAAGTATGCTGCTGATGTAATTGTATGATTCGATCTTTTGCGATTTTCGAAAACGGAGCAAACAAACATAGCAACCTAATGTAACTAATGTAGCGATCATGTAGGGGAGCGTATACTTTCGCTCTTCTAATTTGCATTTTTCATTCATTCATTCATGATTTGAAGAGTCGCGACAATTCGACAAATAAATAATCGTAATGTCCTATGTTAGAATAGAATAGAAATTTCTAGTTTCCAGGGTTACTTTAGATGGCTTCACAGATGCAGCAAACGCAATGCCAAAATGATTCGACTGTAATCTAGTTGGGGTGAAAGTGTTGCAGCAGCTGCTGAGGGAGCTAAAAAGCAAAGATCTCCTTATTGGTACTTTAAATTATGATATGGTATTAGAACAAGACATATTTATTTATTTATTTATTTATTTATTTTTTTTTTTTTGGATCAATTTCACTTTAAAGCTAACTACTATTGTATAGTATGGATTAAGTAGACGAATCATCTTTTTAAAATCTATTAGTTAGCCTAATACTTGTATAATATTTTACTAACGGGGTTGCCCGGGTGAAAAGCGCTTTTCTTGCGGCTTCGAGTAATGCCAAATACCGGATGGCTTAGGAGGGGATGGTATGCTAGACAATTCAATAAATATTACTTCCTTTTTTCCCCTCTCGTCACTATTTTTTATTTTTTTATACGGCACATACACTCAGTGCTTGATGGCTAATAATTTAAAAAAAAAAAAAAAAAAAAAAAAAAAGGAAAAAAAAGGAAATATAAATGCTTAAGGAACTGACGGAAATCACGATGTTTGGTTTACAAATCACCCTATACCGTAGAGCGTTCGTTCTTTATGCTTAACCCAGCTAACGAGGCAATCTGTTTTTTATTCAGATATTTAGGTAAATTTTTTTTTTTTTTTTTTGTAAATATTATTCTTTTATTTAACATCTGATTACTTTATTTGCTGCCATTGGCGCTGCTGATATTTTTTTAACTCTTCGTTGTTGTTGTTGTTGTTGTTAATATTATTGTTGTTGACCTAAATACCTTATTATTTAGTATCTTATTTACGTTTCTCTTTAAATTTTTTCTTCTTTTCATTCCATTACTGGAAGATGTTTTTATATTAATACCATAGTGACGTTTGTAACCCTAAACAATTATGGTAATATAATATATAATTGAATGAACACTTCTGAATTGGATTCCGTTATATCTAATTGCCTAATGTTTTGTTGGTCACTTTGCTCAAATTAGAAAATAATAAGACCATACCATGATACCTTTACTTTGACTTTTCAGCCACTAAATAGTGACTCGGCCTATATCGATTTTATCCAAATTATGTCTCAGAGGGACTTTTCGTGATCAATTTATTTGTAACTAAATGTGTTTCATGTAACGCTATTGTTTATGAAAGCTTTTGTTCGATTCGAAGAGAATTACTTTTATGTGTAACGGATAGCATTAGGAATGGCTTCACCAAATAGATAGCAATGTCTCTTGCTAACGAAATTAGAGCACAATCTGCTTCGCATTGGCTGTTCTTTTCACTTCAGTTTCGGTATTAACGTGATCTCATTGTCATAAGGTTTCGACTCGCTATAAACTCGTCCCCGAGTCCCCGATAATCAGTGTGTAACGATAGTTCCTAACAGATAAATGCAGATTATTGCAAATGATTTGCTACTTTATTCATATCACAGAATTACGAATATCAAGCAATAATGTAAAATTTAACAATCCGCCAATTGTTAACATGGATACGTCGGTAAATTGAAATATTTTCGCGCAAAAATTTAATATTGAAATATTAGTTGTTGCTTTTTTTTATATATTGGGAAGATGGTCTTTGCGCCTTAGTGAATTTACCAAATGCGGCTTTTACGATTGCCAGGTATGAGTTTTCAATGTTCATGTGTATCGAAACGGCCGATAAATACAGTAACATATCTTTATGACGAATGTAACACAGGAAACTAATCTAATATTTAATAGTTATCGTGGGAAAGAAAATATTTAAAGATAAAAATTTTTTTTTTTTTTTTTTTTTTTTTTTAATTAGATCAAGTCGTGTGAGTCTATCTGATTTTTATTTAAACTTTTCGATAAACTTTGAATTCTAGTCGTGTTACCTCAATCTTTCCGACCTCGCCATGGTGTTAAGTTAATCAATTCTTGAATTCACTGTACAATAATCTCACTAAGCGAAAACTGATTACAATGGAAAGTATGTTGCCCAGGCTTAGCCCTATAGTTAGTTAATTGTGTCTTGTCCAAACTTCCTGGTAGATAATTAAAGACCTTTCATATCAGGAGTCCCATATAATAGGGATTTAACTCCTATTGCACATAAATCATTTTCAGTACATTAATGCAGCTCGTTTCGTAATTGAATCGGATAATAATGTCTCAATGCACACGCTGATGATCTTAATCTTATTCTCCTAACTGCTTAGAGTTCATTAAGGCAAATGCATTCCGGTTGCTTTATAAAAAATTGTAAACTTTAAATATTGTCCTGTATTTAAATATTTATTGTTAAAATCTTAAATAGAAAGTAAAGTTTTTATTGACCCGTTTATCGTTTTTGAAAGTAGATTAATTTCGGTCTTGAAAAAACTGAGAATAGTGATAATATTGTTATGAAATTCGCTTTTGTAAGATACACTTTGTATCACTGGATCGTGGATATATTGATCAAGAGCAATGCACTTCGAAATTCTTTTATTTAGAATTATATACCGTAACAGTAGGATCATTTATTTACAATTATGTTGCTTAAATGTACGATTATTCACAATTTATTTTGGCCGTACTCTCAACTTCTGTTATGTTCTTGCCCGACTAACCAACCCTCCCTTCCACAAATATTCTATTTATATACATTTTTACAAGCATGTTACTATGCCTAACTTTATGGTTTCATTTCTAATCCCAGCCTGCTTTTCCTTTAATCGTCTTCAGCGGCCTGCAGCTGCATGACGCGCCTGCGTATGCTCATTTGGTTTTTCCTTCTTTAGGGAATTTATTATTAGGGAAAATTACTTGGCCGAAATTAACTGGATTTCGGATTTTCGTAATAATATGATATTTCTATTCCTAAATAATAGATAGCCGGCCAAAAAAAAAAAAAAAGCGGAAGGTTTCCGTAATATTCGAGAGATTCGGAAGCTATTAACCGTATTAGAAATATGTTTATTTTGCAAGCGATGCAAGCAAGTCTATCGTATTTACTTGACTAGAAAATATTTATGTATAGAATCAAGGCTTGGTAAGTTAGGGATGGAATTATATCATAAAGGCGATCACAAAAGGTTGCATTCTACAAAATGTGGCAAATCGGAAGTACATTATAATTTATAGTGAGTGATATGTGCAGTGACAAAAAAGAAAAAAAAGAAAGATAAACTTGGCCTTAATATATGAATGAAAAATGTATTGATCATAAACTCTTTTCATCAGGTCATTCATTCTTCGCGACTATGTTGTGATTGAAATGGCCATCCGGGTAATCAATTCCAATTGCATATTATCCCTCCGGATCAGTATAAAGTAACACAATCCCATAGGAAAAATAATAATGTATTTTTAGTGCAGGAAATGAAAGACGGAAATCTTCAAGTTAGAGAAGAAGTTAGATATTGAGAACTTCCTTGTAACAGCGTAGATGATGAAACTATTTGCCCGTAATTGAATCGCAATAATCAAACGCACAAGACCAGAAGAGTTATCGTAAATATAAATTTCTGTAAATAATTTGTAAATAAATCTCCTAAGCGTGCTAAGTAAAACCTATGCTATGCTAAAAATCGCAATTCAGTGATACGAAGTTAATCTCGAACAGAGTGGAATAAAAACGTGAAAGCTCAAAAATCAGTTTGCGATACAATATTTATATGAGATTGACTAATATTTTGTTTTACTACCCATTACCGTAGGATGAGTGGTGTATTCATTTTATTAAAAAGTTTGCAACGCCTAGAAAGAGACTTCAGAGAGCCCACAAAATGTACATATGTATATATATATATATATATAGATGTTCGGCCTCAATTTCTGAATCGATTTAAACATGTCCGTCTGTCCAGTTATCCGTCTATCCGTCTATCCTAAGTATTCTTCTGTCCGAAAAAATCAAGCTACAGACTTCAAATTTGACAGAAGCTTTGGATATTCCGGTACGCAGCTTGGTATGTAAACTGGGAACATCTCTATTTTCCGAAAGGAATAAAAAATTGACTCTTTGCTCATGAACTCATAAGCAACAGCAGATAAATTTGCAAAAATTTTTATCTGTAGTACCTGCATAAAAATGGAAAAAATTGACCACGCCTATTCAATATAATAACGTATCAAAATGTATGTATTTTTTTTTCAATACGTTTATAATGCACAGAAACGAGTTTGAAAAATCCCAGAATGCACCTAAGCATCTCTATCTGTTCGTCTGTCCATCTGTCTATCTGCGCAATTGTGTAGTGTTTGTGGTAAACATTACCGCAATTGCAAACAACTTACA